AAAATAGCTTAGAAAGCCCTGTCAGGTGTTTTGTGCAGCTGACAGAGGTAATGTTACATCACCTCAAAAAGAAAGATAAACGGTCAGTTATTCTAAAAATAAATTGTTTGGAAAGTACAATGCACCACATTTTTGTAGAAGTCTACTATTTGATAAACAGTTGAAATTCAAGATGTGTTTGACCCTTAGTCATTTTTACTCTTTGGTTCTGAGTATACCTATTTTCTTAGCATATCTACCTTGTTTATCTTTTTCTTCACCTTTTAACAAGTATGACATAGGAAAGTCATTTTTTTAGAATTCATGGATCAGTCTGATCTACTTTTATTCATAATGGAACATGTAAATATATTGAAAGCTGTTTTTCAGGAGAGAAATACGAGTTGGAGGGAAGGAAAAGTGGTTCTACTTACGTTCCAAAATCCTCATCAGAGAAGGTATGATGTTCTTAGGTGTGGAAAATATTTTTCAGTTGATTGAGAAAGCAGGTTTAACAGAAAACATAAAGAAGGGGCATAATGATTGCCGTTTTTCCAGACTGGATTTTCTTACCACAACTGTTAATGTTCTCAGAGTTGATGAAGGACCACCTTTGTGTATACACTTGTAGTTTTAAACCTTGCATTGGTAACAAAATGTTCTACTTTAATCCAGGTAGAATTCAAGATGGCTGTACTTCAGTTGTATGATAAAATTAATGGTTCTCATGACTGTGTGGCATCAAAAAATAATGTTTTTTTAGCATCTCTCTGCCACTAAATTGTTGACTTGAATTTTGGAAAAAAAAGTTGGTGTTGATATGTATATGTGTGTGTGTATATATGTATTTATAAACAAGTGTGTGTGAGTAACAAGTGAGTTTCATAGTCTTCCCCTATGCATGTGTATTCCACACACAAATGGCTGAGTTATAGTCATAAAACAATTTGCAATAAAAAAAAACAAAACAGATTGTCAGTTAACCAGGAAACAGTTACGTTTTTTAATGAATCTGGTATTACAGTGAGCAAATGTCATACTAATTTAGGCTAATCTCTAATAGTACCATAATTTGTGTCTAAATTTGGATTGGGGTAGAAATTACTAAAATTGTGGGGAGTTTGTTTTCTGATTTTACATTGCTTTAGGAAACATATTTTTACTAATTCAGCTGTCTTAGGTAAAATGAATAGTTTTCTTCCTGTTTTTTTATGTGTCATTGTTAGTGGTCTCAAAATTCTGATCAATAACTTTGTGTATGATGCTGAATTATACAAACTGTTTGAATGATCCAGTGGAAAACATATCCCTCTACGTTCTTCTGTCCAGTTGTAGAGAAGGTTAATTTCCCTCAGTGTCCCACATTTACCAGCCTAAGAGAGGAACAGGTAATAGGGAGAAATAAACATAGAGTGGTTTCAGTGGTTTTGGTCATGTGTCCACAGGAGAAACTAACCATTCAGAAGTTGTCTTAATTATAGTTCATTCCACCCTGTGAGGAGTTTGTTTCCATCAGTTGTTGACTTTCCAAAATGTTGCATTAAGTAATAGTTGTCACTCTGTTGGCCTCATGGTCAATATCAATCACACTTCATGATCTCTACTAATTACTAGTAGAGTCATGTACTATGTCTTTAACTCCGAAGTTTAAAGAAAAGCACAGAGTCACTTCATCTCTTTTTTTCTTAGCCTACCCTCACTCCCCAACCCATGCCAACATTGACATGCTATCTGTGGACAAATAGCAGTTCTCAGAATCTAGTCAAGTTGCCATCATCCCCCTTGCCTTGGCCATTCATAGTAGGTATGCATATGTTTGTTTCTGTACAGTACTGTGTGTGTGTGTATATTTACATCTGTATGCACACATCTTTGATAAAATAGCTATTTGACTAGCAGGGTTAAAGTGGCTTTTAATTACTTTGTGAGCGTTATTGGATACATCTTTAAAAAAAAAAAAAATCTGAACCAGAACCATGCCACGCTTGGTTGACTATTTTGAGCATTAAAATTGCTTTACTAATTATGTAGACATTATCACAATTCTGTATCTTTACTGACTTAGGAAAGATTCACGTAAGCTCTGAAAACTCTGATTCCTTGGTAGATTTTCCTTTGAGTCAAGTGTCTGAAATGGAATGAAAAGATATCCTAACTCTAAGTTAATATGGAAAGAGCATTGTTTTTAAAACAATTTCGATTTTAAATACATAAAACTTTCAAGATCTTCAGGACTTTTTAAAGCACATTTGAAATTATTTTAGTAAGAATTTTGTTTTATCAATATATGTTGAATTCTGTTTTTTAATTAAACATAAAGCTTAGATTTCAGAAAGAGGGAGGGAAAATAGCTGGTGGTCCCAGAGTGTGCTGCTGTTAATTGTTTAACAAAGGGGAAAATGTATATAAACAGATAAAGTTACCATAAATTCCATGAACTTAAATCTGTGATTCATTGCCTTAAAACTTTCTCTCTTAGAATTTCCATACCGCATGCCAAACCAGTAAAATGGCTTTTAAAAATGTATAGTAGACAATGTCAGTTTGTATAAAAGTACCAAGTGAAAATATTTATTACATGCATTGGAAAAAAAATTGTTTACCTATTGAATGTTACCTGTTTATGTAGAGCTCTTTAGATGTAATAAAAGAAAAGCCTTCAGTTAATTTGTCTTCTGTAAAATAACACTGCTGGGTGTTCAAGGGGACAAAATCCCTGTGAGACAAGTGATAATGGTTTGTGCTTCCAAAGCACCTTTCATCCAGAGATTTCAAAGCATGACAAGTAACTAATTTTCTTGCAGCATGCTTTGAGGTAAGTAATGAATATATAGCCATCATTTCCCTCTCTTGTTGAAATATGGCTAGCTCTTTAATAAATCACAGCATCTGTTCAGTATAAGTCTGTTTAGCATCTGCAGTTTGAATGCTAAGAGCACCGTGGCCTTCTTGTAAACAACACTAGGTGCTAGAGAAACCAGCTGGAATTTCAGGAATGAGCTTGAAACCAGGACAGGAGTAATATAACAGCCCTTCCTCCGGTAGAGGTTTGAATCGGAACACTTCACAGGATCTTAGGCTCTGGACCACTGGATCCCCTTAATGAGGAGCAGGGAGTCTGTGAAGAGGAGCCCCAGGTTCGAATTCCACACCAGCTGTGTGTTTTTGGCAAGCTATACTTCAGATTCCCGTTAGGCAAATGAGATGCATAAAACTTGCTTTAAAGCCATACCGGGACTATTCAGTGATAAATACATAGAAAAGCTTTGACGGAAAGTACCCTCATTTTTTATAGCCAGAACTTGCTCTTCCTGTTCCATCTAAATCATTGGTATCTATCTCCCATCTAATCTTTGGTATTCCAGGTTGGCTGTGCAGGATTTACTTCCTAATGTCCATGACTGGAGCTCAAAAGAGGTGCCGGCCTAGGACCTTTGAGCTTTGCCTGAAAGTGACAGCAGATCTCTCGGGGGGAGGTGGGGGGTGGGGTGGGCAGCGTCTAACTGGCCCTCTGGTGGATTTACCTTGAAGGTAATGAAATTTAAGCATGAGGACCCCTCACTTGCCCTGGTCCTGGGAGCAGCCCCAGAAATTCTGCATTTCTGTTTTTGTATTCTTAAGGCAGCCAAATCTTACAAACCTCAGATCCCACAAAACATCTGCTTCTACACTGTGCGGACCTGGGCTTCCCAGCCAGATAGTCACAATTTCACCTAGTTGGCATTTCGACCATTTACTTACTCTCACCCCCACAAAACTCTTCTCTGTGGCTCCTAGGAATTCCCACTTACTCCCTTTGCAGTTACACTTGGGGAAATGAGAGTCTCCTTCCTCAGGGCCTTGTTTGGGTCTGAAGCCACACGGCATTGTTGAGACAGTTGCACTAACACTACAACTCTTGCTCCCTGCAGTTTTCCCAGTGCCCGGTGCCTAGTGGAAGATTCGTGTCTTGTACATCCTCCCAAAAGACACAGCCCGTTTGATTTGGTTTTCTTCTGCTTTAGCCTGTGGCACCACTAGACAAAGCCGCAGCCCAGAGAACCCGCTTTTGATACATACGTGAAAATCTTTGCACTGGGAGCCCTGCAGCGCCTCCTGTGTTGCTGTGGTGCGCCAGCCCTTCTTAGGACTGTGCTGGCACTATGAGTGATCCAGATTTGACAAGTGTATGGCACCTCTGAATCTCTGGCAGCACCAACCTAGCACCTTCTGGCTAACTCAAAGCCACTCGAGCTGGACGGACTTCCAGAAAGCCTAGCGCTCCTACTACTGTTTTCCAGGGCTATTGTACCGTGGCCATTGCTGGTTCCATCCCCTTATTTCTCTCCATAAGTCCTGGGGAAGTGGCTTAAGGCTATGACCAGTGTGGGCCACTTAAGCAGACCTCCCTGGAACCTCTCTGCCTGGTAACAGAGCCCAGGGAACAGCTCAGAATTCTCACAGCATTGGAAGCCCCCTTCTTGAGCTCTGCAAGGCCAGTGAATTCAGCAGCTCACATCTGGTTGGCTTTGGTGTGAGGTGTAAAGTAGATCACTCTTCCCGCTCTCAGCTGATGCTGCCTCATTGTAGCATGTGTTTTCACTCTACAAAGTTTTCACTCTATACTCTGTGTTTATGAACCAATAGCCTGAGCTTTGTCACTGTATCTATTGAGATAGAAATGAGAATTTGTAAATGGGCCTCTGGCACCGCAAGAATTGTCATAAGTGTTACAGCTTTTTGTTTGTTGCAGCTTCTCAGCTAGCACTGGCTTCATCTTGGAAATATGGAAGATGGTTCTAGCCCCCAAATACAGAGTAAGTCTCTTGGTAGATTGCCCTTAAGTCATTAGCTCAATCCTTCCTCAACAGGCTCCATGAGGTAAGAAGTGGGAATCCAGCTTGTGTGAGGGCCCTGAAGCTTTGAGGGGTGAAATGATTTGCCCAAAGTCACAGTGGGAAGCAGAAGAGCCAGGACTGGAACCCAGGCCAGACTCCAAACCACAGGCTCCTTCCATGCTTGAAAGGGCCGGACTCATGGTAGTTAATAAAATCAATACAAATCTTTTATTAAAAAGATCTGCTCATACCATGCATGGCTGAAATCATCTATTATTGTTGCTAGTTAGCCTCTCTTCTGTAGTTGGGTAATGTTGTCTTGCCACTGTGTTTGCCATCTCCAAGTGAAAAGAACACTTTTCTTTTTAAAAATTAATCTCTCCAAGTTTTCAGGCCCAGGGGAGGCTCTCGCATTCTCCTCCTTCAATAGTCCTGTCCAGGAAGGGTGATCTTGTGGATAAATTCATCATACTTCACTTTGCCGTTGGGTTCGATACCTGCTTCCCTGAAAAGATCATCCACTGCAATAAATCACATTAATTTTTCAGTTTGGCTTTAGTGTTCCATTATAAAACAGTGAGTTATTTGGGGACTGGAGCTCCCCTAAGGTCTTCCCTGAGTGTCCAGTTGACTATTCCTATAGACCAGGAAGTAAACCAGTGAACAGAAAGGGACAACCCACCCCTGCCCTCCTGAGACCACGGATTCCATTTAGAGCTAATCAGGCTTTCTGCAGGGGCAGGGAGTAGGGAGGTGTACTGGTAAGGATTCGGTCACTGATGCCACCCTGGGCTTTTTTTTTTTTTTTTTCTTTTTTGAAACAGTTTCGCTCTTGTTGCCCAAGCTAGAGTGCAATGGCACAATCTCCGCTCACTGCAACCACCGCCTCCCAGGTTCAAGTGATTCTCCTGCCTCAGGCTCCCGAGTAGCTGGGATTACAGGTGTGTGCCACCACGCCTAGCTAATTTTTTGTTATTTTTAGTAGAGACAGGGTTTCACCATGTTGGCCAGGCTGGTCTTGAACTCCTGACCTCAGGTGATCCACCCACCTCAGCCTCCCAAAGTGCTGGGATTACAGGCATGAGCCACTGTGCCTGGCCCACCCTGTACTTTTATTTTTACTTTTTCATGAAAATATGACCCCTGTGCCTGTATTTCTAGAAACCTTTGTCCCGGAGTTTTTACCTTCCACCTGCTCAGCCTGCAGGCAGAGCGAACATCCTCGGCAGCCCCAGGCTTCAGCCTGCCCCTCACTTGCCTGCCTTCTCCCCTAAGCCAATGCTCCTCACCACCCCTGTCCCCACCCCGAGAGGACTTAGTGAAAAGCACTGTCTGCTACCATCACTTCTAAAAGAAAGTATGTTTGGGGGATGGGGTTTTTATGAGAGAAAAATAAATCCAACTGTGTTGAGAGCTCACAGCATACAAGACTGCCATTGTTCTCCATCGCTCCAGAAAAAAAAGAAAAAAGAAAAAAAAAACTTCATTTGCTTGTTTCTTCTGGTTCTGGATTCCTGGGATAAAATACTAGCTTGTCCCAGGCGTTGGCAAGAGCCATTTCAGCTTGTATTCTCCACAGTGGCCTCTTGGGGCCCACCTACCATGCCTCTGTAGCCCATCCTCATCTCACTGCCCTGTGTCAACTTCCCAGGCCTGGACACCTTCCACACACACCCCTGCAGTCCGCTAGAAAATATCCTGTGATTCTGTGCTTAACTAGCCTTCTCCAAAGTACAATCCCCGTGCCTTGTGCCTAAGCTCATAGTAGTTCTGAGTATTGGGAGAATTTGAGGACACTAATTCATCTCATTTTGTGGAGAAGCTTCTACGATCAGCCAGCTGGCTAAAACCATCCTGGGGGGCAGGCCAACATCAGCTCCAGGGCCAGTCACTGCAGCCTCTTCCCATCTGGGCGAGAGACAGCACTTAGGTGCCGAGTCTGAGGACACCTGAGTAGAATAGCCTTTCACTCCGTCTCACTTCAAAGACCCATAAAAAGCCAGTGCTGAAGTCAGCCCATCCCAGGCCTCAGGAGGAAAAGGCTTCACCTGCAGCCGTTCCAAGGATGCTTTTTAATCAAACTGAAAATTGTCTTTCGATCGCCCAGAGAAAGGATTCCTGCTACTGGTATCATTCTTCCCATCTCCCGTGGCAAGTGAGAGGGAAATCGGTGTCCCTGCTTGTCTGGAACTCATCAGTTTCTGTGAAACATTCCTCTGCTGGTTATGAGAGATGTATGTGAGTCTGCAGCCATGGCATTGCTTTAGGACAGAGATCATTAACCACAAAAATAAGGCCCTGCTCCCTCTGCTGACTCCACCTGTTGCCTAGAGGGCTGGGCGGTATCCTGCAGGGGGTCTGGGAGGGAAGGACGGCCCATATCTTCCCTGTCCATGTGAAAATAGCCACAAGAGATGAGCCTGGAAAAGTGGGGTATGGAGACCCAGCCTGCTGTTGGGCGATTGATTATTTATTTATTTACTTTTGGAGATGAAGTCTCATTCTGTTCCCCAGGCTGGAGTATAGTGGCGCGAGCTCAGCTCTCTGCAACCTCTGCCTCCCAGATTCAAGCTGTTCTCCTGCCTCAGCCTCCCGAGTAGCTGGGGCTACAGGCGTGCGCCACCACGCCTGGCTAAGTTTTATGTCAGGCAATTTTTAAACTCTCTGCACTGTGCCTTAATGGCGGCAGCTAAAATCTGAGCAGACTGATTTGTAGAGTGGTAGCTCAGAGGGACCTGAGGGGTCACATTTTGTACCCTCATTTCTAGCAAGGAAAGTGAGGTGGGAGAGAGGTCTCCCAGCACCCAGGATTCAAACCACAACCTCAAACCCCTCCTCCAGTGGTTTATTGTGATTTGACCAGGGACGGAAAGTCCATCATTTTGAAGCCTGTTTTCAGCACCCACTTGTGGCCAAGCCCAGCTCTCCTGTCCCAACCACAGGCCAGCAGGGCAGCCTAACTAGAAACCCCAGGCTCTGAGGTCGGGGTCCCTGGCCTTGGGCAGAGGCAGAGCTGGCTGGCTGCTGTTGATGTGGCAGGGCTGGGCGGGAGGGTCCGCAGGCTGGAAGAACGAAGGCTGCAAATGGCCCGGCATGGGGGTCCCTTTGACAGTGTGTACAAAGGGCTTTCCTAGAAAACCCCAGGCTTTGTCCTGCTCTGAGGCAAGAAGGCCTGCTGGGCTGCAGGAAGGCACAAGGCAGAGAGACCCCTTCTCATGGGGCTCTGGGACCAGGAACCCCGCCTGTCTCGGCAGTTCTCCAAGTGTCCTGGCAAAGTTCCCTGTGGAGCCCCCTTCTGGAAGAGCTTAGAGCAGCCTGAGTTGGAAAGGAAGCAAAGCAGCACCTCAATCCGGAAACTCAACCTCAGCAGCAACTGCAGAGACTGCTGTGATGGGAGGAGGGGCAGGGATGTCTAGACCTGCCTTCACTCCCGCACTGCTGCTCAGGAGCCACTCACTCCCCTGCTTCTTTATCAGTAGAAGCAGGCACTTGTGCTCCCAGGGCTGTCATAGGCACTAGACGAAGCCCCACAGTGAGAGCTTAAACACAGGGGGAGGCCGGACTGCACGCTCCAGCTGCCCTGCCCTGTGGGGTCAAAGCTGGGTTTCCCCGCAGCTGTCCCTTCACCCTGGCAGACTTCTCCCTGTGCCCCTCCAGGCCCCCTGGTTCTTCCCCAGGCTCCAGCACCCACCTAGTATGGCATCTGCTCACAGTCTCCTGTGCATGCATCAACAGAGGTGGTCTGCACCACCCTGGTGGCATCAGGCGGGCTTTGGTGTCCTCCTCCCAACTTCCTAACCCCCTCTGACTGGTGGGAGACAGGCCCCAGGCTGTTACCTTCCTTGTGGGTGAGCTTCTCCCCCAGGCTCGTAAGTTTTGACCGCAGGTCGGACGCCATGATGTAACCTTTCTTCTCCTTGTCCGCCATCAACATGGCTAGAAGAATTTCTTTCTTTGGGTCTTCTTGTTTTATTTGCATGTGCATAATGGTCAGAAAAGTGGAGAAATCCAGCTCTCCATTTCCATCTAGGAAACCCACAAACACAGCAGAGTGAGCAGGGGGAAAAAGGCTCTTGGGAAGCCAGTTAGCCTCCTGCTGGACCTGCACATCCAGTTCAAGGGTCACTGACCAGGGAACGTCAGGATGTGGCAGTGGTCACAGTGAAGAGGATGCAGCCTCTCCCACCGAGTTCCCACAACGGGCCCCTCACTGGACTGGACATTCTTCATTTCAGCAACGTCCTCAGTGATGATGCTTATCATCACCCCAAAACTCAAGAAAGCGGGGTCCCATCCACAGATGGAGGACTGGACTCCTCTACTCCCTTCTAGCGCTTCCCTCCTGCCCTGAACTGGAGGGAAACAGGTCCATGTCTCCATTCCACCTTTGACAACCACCACAGCACATCTACCAGGATGGATCAGCGCCCCCACCTGGGGCCTCAAGCCTCAGTCCCAGGCTGGGCTGCTCACCTGCCTTCCCCTCACTGCAGTTTCCACCTCAACCCCTCCTCCACACGCCCTGGCTGGGATGTAACTGCAGGAAATCAAAACTTCCCCTGACTACAACTTCCTATTTGTTTAGAGGAGACAGAAATCAAGGAAACCACCACCGCTTTGATGCTGGATCATGGGGTATCAGACCACTGAGCACCCCGCCGCCAGGCTGCAGGCCTTCAGAGGCCCACCTGGGCCCAGCGTGGCCTGCCCCAGGGCAGGATCCCAGCACCACTGTAGGCATTCTCTAGTGGGGCCTCCGGTCACCCTAGCAGATGGTGGTGACCCCCACAAGATGAGGAAGCTGGGGGCCTGAGACTGAGCAGCAGCCTGTGGGCTCTGGGTCAAGTGCTCTTCCCAGGGGACCCCCTTCCCCTGGGCCAGTCCCTCCTTCCTGAGTGTCCAGCCTCCAATGCAAACAGCCACCCCAGCCTCTGAAATTACTCCTTTTTTTCTTAGAAAAAAACACAACAAAACATAAAATCTGCTTCTGACTGTGAAAAGCCGTATATGTTCTCATTGTTGAAAATACAGGAAACAACAATAAAAGAAATAAAAATCACCCATAATCCCATCACCAGAGAGAACTACTTGGTAACATCTTGGATGGGTTTTCTTTCGGCATTTTTTTTTTTTTTTTCTAGCAATAGTTTTTCTAAAAACTATTGCATAGTTTTTAGGTCAGTCTTTGGTATCAGAAGAATTGGGTTCTAATCCTGATGCCATCACTGGCTCAAGAACTTAATGGCTGTAAACCTTGATCTTTGCTTGTAAAGTGGGTTAGGAGAAAGCCAGGCACAGTGGCTCATGCCTCTAACCCCAGCACTTTGGGAGGTCAAGGAAGGCAGATCACCTGAGATCAGGAGTTTGAGACCAGCCTGGCCAACATGGCAAAACTCCGTCTCTACTAAAAATACAAAAATTAGCCAGGCGTGGTGGCGGGCGCCTGTAATCCCAGCTACTTAGGAGGCTGAGGCAGGAGAATCACTTGAACCTGGGAGGCAGAGGTTGCAGTGAGCCGAGATCTTATCACTGCATTCCAGCCTGGGCGACAGAGCAACTCTGTCTCAAAAAAAAAAAAAAAAAAAAAAAAAGAGAGAGAGAAAATGAGGTTAGGAGAATGCCTACTTCGTAGGGTTTTGCAGGTAAGCACATGACAAATACTCAACAAAGGGAAATGTTTCTATAAAACATTGGGATTGCTGTCAGCGCGGCTTTTCCCTGGGTTTGATAAGTCTGTTGGAACGCCTAGATCCCGAGGTCTGTGAGATGAGGCATCACTGATTGCTATGAGGATTCCAGGAAGCCGAAGTAAGGCACAGCACTCCTGGTCTGGGGCTGCCACAGCTGGGTCCCCAGGAGGCCTGCCTACCAGCTGCCCCTCAAACTGCTGAGCTTTTCACACCTCTACCATCTGCACCCACCTGCCGGGCCCCTCCCCACTCCCCGTTGTTCCCACCACCACTCACCTATCCCGTGGGTCTGCAGGTGCCGCTGCACCTCCCCTGGCGTCGGGCTGGCCCCCAGGCACCTCATGGCCACCATGAGGTCTGTGGCTTTTATCTTCCCCCTCTGCTGCTTGTCATACAGGGAGAAGCATTCCTTGTACTCTGCGCACAGCCCAGAGGCAGGGTCAGCAGCGTCTGGTCACTCTCCGCTGATGCCGCCCTCCCTGTCCTCAGTCTCTTCTCCCTCTTTTCTCTTCCCCTTCCTTTTGCCCACTCCCGCCATCCCTCTCTCCCCTCCCCTCCCCTCCCAAGGGTGCTAGATATAGCAAATGAAAATACAGGACTGCCAAGTGAAACTGAATTCAGAAAAATACTGAATACATTTTAATTGTATGCCCCAAATTTTGCATAGGACATATACTTCTATTGAGAAAGTATTTGTTGTCTGAAATTCTATTTAACTGGGTATCCTGTATTTTATCTGGCTCCTCTTCCCTTCCTCCCTACTCCCTCCCTTCCTTCTCCCTCCCCCTCCCCCCACCAACCCTCAGGACTACAACTCCCAGCACAGTACCCCTCCAGGGCTCACAGTGGAGAGCAGAAACACACAGCAAGGCATCTAGACCCCCAGGGGACCTCTGCAAACAACTTTTCTGGACAATGGGAATAATAAGACCTCAGGATTACTGTGAGAGCCAGAAATCCCAGGAGGCCTGGCAGAGAGTGGCCCTCATATGGTGATACTATCATCATTAGAGCTGGGGCATTTCTGAGCCTATTGCCCCCGCCCTGGCCTCCAGGCTGCTGAACCCTCAAGCTGTCCATGGACTCAGGCCCTGGTCCTGTTCTTAGAGGCTTCAAAGGGTCCAGCTGGGAAATTCTCCCAGGGTCTGAAGCCCTTTCTCCCTCGGTACTTGGTAGAGGTGGAAGGCAGCCGGAGCTAAGGCTCCCCTAAACCCACAGGCTCCCGGCCTGACACAGCTGTCCCACAGGCTCCTGGCCTGACACAGCCGTCCCACGGGCTCCCAGCCCTGGGAGTCCCAGCAAGGCCAGCTGGGAGTTCAGGGAAAGTCCCTGGGCCACACTGACTGAACGTCTGATTTGGGGGTAGGTGGGGCTGCCATCAGGACAGGGAGACTCTCATCCAGCCCAGACGAGGAACCTGGGCCTGTGGGTGGAGCCGTGGGAACCCAGTGGCCTGGTGCTGGCCATCCCAGGCTGGGGCTCAGGGCTCTGTTCTCTCTCCTGCTTCTCACACCACCCAGGTGGGTCCTTAGAGGCCTGGACAACAGCACCTTAGCTGATGACAGCAACAATGACAGTTCACATTGCTGAGCACTCTGCCCCCAGGTCCTCGCTTCATCCCCACCACCCTGTAACACGCTCCTCATATTCCCATGTGCAGACAGGGCACTGAGGGCTGCAACACTGACAGCCTGGCTGTGGGCAGCTCTGCCCACCAGGCCACACTGCCTTCAGTTCCAGGGCAAACAACGCTGAGTGCAGCAGAGTGAGGGAGAGGATGTAGAAGGAGCCCCCTCAAATCCCTAGCCCAGACCAGGGGTCCCTTCATACTCCCTAATGAAGGCACTCAGGCCTCCCTGGTAGGATTTCAGGGGTGTCACTAAAGACAGGCAGATTGCCATGTACCATTTAGAGACAAATTCGTGGCCTTTGTGGAGAGACTGAGAGGAAACCCCCAGCCCCACACACCTGCCCTTTCAGAACGTTCCAGAGCCTGAGCTTCCAAAGGGGCAAACCAAAGACAGGACCAGGTGGCAGGGGCCGAAGCGGCCCGGAGGAAGCAGGGCCAGAGCCTGGCCTAAGACCCCAGCTTTGATTCCCATAAAACGAAATTGCCTGCAAGAGGGCCCAGTGCCAGACGGGACAACGCCATCACTTCACGTCAGGGGGACAGAGAGAGGGCTGCCCAGTCACAGAGCTTAACCTTAGCACTGCAGGGGGTGCCCCTGGGACCTCTCATGGCCACCCTCACCTTGTCTTTCTGTCTGGGTTTGCCCCTGGGTGAGGGAGGGCCAGAGGCCCACTGCCGTCCCTGCCTGACCTGTGCTGGAAGGTGCTCATCGCACCCTTGGGGTCCAGAATCAGCCTGGATCTGCAGATGGGTGCACTTCACCACTCCCTGACAAGCCCTGTCAGTCACTGGGGACCTGTGGTCCTTGCCAGCAGCAGCGCCAGGGCTCAAACAGAGGCCCACCTCCTAACAAACCTTCACATCAGATATGCGCTGTCTCCCTGTTTCACACGCCTTTAAAGACCTGGAAGGCCAGAGGTGAACTTGGAATTCCTGCACTGGAACAGACAGCAGGGTTTTGGAGACCCACCTGGGCTTCCCACTGGCCCCTTCCTCCACCCTCTCTCCACTCTCCCTCCTCACCTCCTGGCTCTCCTTCCTGCTTTTCCTCCTGCCAGGTCGGCCCTCTAACATACTAGCACCTATATTTCACCACGTTCCCCTCCCTCGATGGTGACCCCCGTGAGGATGGGATTTTTGTCTTTGTGTTCACTGTTGTAGCTCTAGTGCCTGGAACGGGGCTAGCACAAAGAAGGGACACAAACATTTGTTGAATGAAAGGATTAATTGGGTTAAATGAATTGGATTAAAAATCCCCTTTAAGTCTTCTCTTTGAAAATGCAAATCCCCCGGGACAAGAAAGAGACCTGCGCAAGGCCTAGGATAACACCAGCTGTGCTGGATGTTTAACCATCAGTTCTGATCATATATGTACTTGTGTCCTCTGCACTGTACAAACATAAAGGATGTGTAGCACAGAATTTACAAATAATACGGAAATGTACATTATTCTTTATTATAAATTCCATCTAGGGCTGGGCGCAGTGGCTCACGCCTGTAATCCCAGCACTTTGGGAGGGCGAGACAGGAGTATCACTTGGGCCCAGGAGTTCGAGACCAGCCCAGACAATATAGTAAGACCTCATGTCTACAAAATATTTAAAAATATTTTGTGTGTGGTGGTGTGTGCCTGTAGTCCCAGCTACTCAGGAGAGAGAGGTGGGAGAATCCCTTGAGTCTGGGTGGTGAAGGTTGAAATGAGCAGAGATCAAGCAATTGCACAGAGCAAGGCTCTTTCTCAAATAAATAAATTCCATCTAGCCACTTGATTACCACAAATGAGTTTTTTTTGAAAGAGTTTCAGTCTTGTTGCCCAGGCTAGAGTGCAATGGCATGATTTTGGCTCATTGCAGCCTCCACTCCCAGATTCAAGCGATTCTCCTGCCTCCGCCTCCCATGGAGCTGGGATTACAGGCGTGCACTATGCACCATCACGACCGGCTATTTTTTTTTTTTTTTTTTATAGAATCTCATTCTTGTTGCCCAGGCTGGAGTGTAGTGGTTTGATCTCAGGTCACTGCAACCCCTGCCTCCTAGGTTCAAGTGATTCTCCTGCCTCAGCCTCTTGAGTAGCTGGGATTACAGGCACCTGCCACCACACCTGGCTAAATTTTTTGTACTTTTAGTAGAGATGGGGTTTTGCCCTGCTGGCAGGCTGGTCTCGAATTCCTGACCTCAGATGATTCACCCGCCTTGGCCTCCCAAAGTACCAGGATTACAGGTGTGCACCACCGCGCCCAGCCAGTTTTGTATTTTCAGTAGAGATGGGGTTTCACCATGTTGGCCAGGCTGGTTTTGAGCCCCTGACCTCAGGTGATCCACCCGCCTCGGCCTCCCCAAGTGCTGGGATTACAGATGTGAGCCACCGTGCCCAGCCCAAGTTTTGCCAACTCTTATATCCATTGCCAACCTATAGTTTTGATTCGACCATGATTTGACAAATGAAGCTGCATGCCAATGAGTGTGATTCTTTTTCCAATGAAAAATCTGATGTGATCTACTGTTAAACTATTTCTCACCCTTGTACCAAATACATTCATTAAATTGAAACCTATTTGAAATCACCAGCTCTACTGATCACAATAGGGCTGTCTTTTTAACTTTCTGTATAGATAGATGTAGGGACTGAAACATTGTTTGATCCTACATTATTTAATAATGGCTGGCTTTAACATCCTGCTTGCAAAATTCCTAAAAAATGGCTGTTGCTAGCTGTAGTGAGCCAGCCCCAGCCTACATGTGGGTGACACCTGCCTGTGCCTGGCCCAGCGTCCAGCACGTAACTGACATTATCTCCCTCTGTCCCTGGCTCACAGCAGCCTGGTGAGGTGGCATATCCCTATTTCACAGGTGAGAAAACCGAGGCTCAGGGTGATTAGGCTTCAGGTCTGCTGCCTCCAAAGCCCCTGTTCTTTCCACTTCGCTAGGCCACCCCGTCCAGTCTTTTATACACTCGTTAAACACTGGTGGCCACTTTCTTGGTGTCAGATACTGGGATACAAAGATAAATTACCTTCTTCCCTTCTGGGAGCTTTGGCCATCCCAGGAGGGAGGGTCAGTGAGCCTTAAAACCAGGCATGGGTGGGAGGGTGCTGAGGCTGAGAGCTGAACTCCAGCCCTCAGTCCACCATTCAGTATCACCTTTGGACCTGGACAAGAGGGTGCTGCCCCAGGCCCTGTGTTTTAAAAGTCCCTGCTCCTGCCCTGGCCCTCCTCTTGGGATAAAGAGTTTGAGGGGTCTACGTGGAGGTGCCCACCTGGAGCTCACAATTCCTGCCCCTCTAGACCAAGCTCAGAATACCCAGAACTCTGGAACTCCTGGCTGGGTAACCCTAACCCCACTTGGCTGGGCTCTCAGGACCCTGCCCTGGATCACAAGGGCCCAAGGTGCCTGTAATTTGTTGTTTTTGTTGAGACAGAGTCTCACTCTGTCGCCCAGGCTGGAGTGCAGTGGCACGATCTTGGCTCACTGCAAACCCGCCTCCTGGGTTCAAGCGATTCTTCTGCCTCAGCCTCCTGAGCAGCTGGGAGTACAGGCACCCGCCATCATGCCCAGCTAATTTTTGTATTTTTAGTAGAGACGGGGTTTCAACATATTGTCCAGGCTGGTCTCGAACTCCTGACCTCGTGATCTGCTCGCCTTGGCCTCCCAAAGTGCTGGGATTATAGGCGTGAGCCACCGCGCCCGGCCTTGGTACCTGTAATTTTAGCTCCAGTAGTCAGCGAAGGACTCACTGAGAAGGCGATGTTTCAGCAGAGACCTGGAGGAATAGGGACGCCTGGGGGGACTCTCAGGCCCATTGACGTCCACTGTTGGGACAGGTTCAGGGTCACAACCTCAAGCAGCAGCTGGCTGTGCCTCCTGGGCCTCTCCTGCCAGGTATAGGGGGGCTGCAGTCATGAGGCTCCCCTGGCTCAGGTCTGGGCCCCTGAGTTCTTTGTAACCCAACCCTTTGTGCTCTTGGCCTTGTGGAAATAGAGCCTGCACAGTGTGAAACTGAAGCCTGGTCGAGGGCTGGCAGAGTAGGGGACCCAGGGAATGAAGTGCTCACACCCAAACCAGGCTTGATGCCAGGGCAAAGGGGACTCAGTGGACCCCCTCCCATTTTACAGATAGGGAGACTGAGGCCCAGAGAGTAGACGCATCCTGCCGGAGAGTGCAAACCTGGCCTCTGTTCTGTCTCAGTTACAAAGCCCCTCCTCTTTCCCTGCTGTCAGCCATACCTTTAATGGTCTCTCTCTCCATCCCCAGTCCCCTCAGTCCCCAAATCCAACTGGTCAGGCTCTGGAGGGAAACCTAGTGGGCTCTGTCTTAGCGCCCTGGCTTGTAAATCACACTGACATGTAGAAAGCCACATTTCTATTTTGGAGGCTTACCCCCGACCCCCAGCCCGCCGACGGCCGCCTCCCTGCAGCTCTTGGCCCCGTGGGCGGGTTCAGCTCTCGCCCAGCCACCTTCCTTCCCACCAAGAAAACATGAGCAGAGCAAACTGCCTAATGAGACCCATGTTTTGCTGAGTTGCTAATTAAAGAACAAACCCAACCTACCATTAATTTGGTCTTGGGAAAGAAACTTGGCCTGCAGCAGAGAAAGGAAAGCAGTCAGGGGAGGGCTCCACCTGAGGCTCACACCCCCAGCCCTGGCCAGGCCCACACAGACCCTCACTCACCATCCTGGGGCCCCGGCTGCCACCCGTGCGTTCGCTGCTCCCAGAACCGCGTTCAGTTTCCTCCAGCCTCAAGTCTAAAGTCTGCCAAGCTGGGTGGAGGCCCGGGTAATAAATGCCCGGCTGCCATGGAGACCGGGCCCGACGCCACCAGGGTCAGATTCCAGCTTCCTGAGCACAGCTCAGGACCCGCCACCCGGGCAGGTTGGATTTTTGAGGAAACGGGGCCGCGGAAGGCTCTCCCTGGGCTCAGAGTCTCCGCCTCCAGAAGCCGCAGCAAAGGGACAAATGCCAGTTTCTTCCTGGGAGCCCTGGACTCCAGGAAGGGGTCTTCTCTCTCCTGGGACTCGGCGGGGACACCATCAAGCTCCGACTAGAGTTGGACACTTTACACCCTGGGTCGTACTGAAGGCTCGTCACACACCATCTTGGAGGAGGAAGGGAACCCTTCCAAGATGGCCCAACTCAGAGATGGGAACCAGGGCGCGCAGGCTTGGGGCCTGCAGGGACACAAGCTTCGGTGCTCTCAGGCTGGGATTCAGTCCTCCCCGCCTGCTGACTTGCTGAGTGGCAAGTCATTCTACCTCAGTGTGTGCCTCAGTTTCCTCACCAGCTGAATGACAGGGCCGTTGGCAAAATCAAGTGGCCAGCGCACAGCCAGTTCCCAGCCTGTGCCAGTTCACCTCCTGCCTTCTGGGGACTTTACAGGTCGGGGAGGGGCCTGGGCTGGGTCTCCAGCCCCACTGCAGGCTCCTCGGGGGCTTGGAGTGAGGCCTCTTAGTGCCAGTTACCCTGGCCAGGAAGGCTCCCCTTTTCTTCCTTCCTTTCCTCTCTCCACCCTCAGCCCCACCCCTTCCGCAGAAGCTGCTGATGCTCCCAAGTCCTCAGAGGTTCGTGCTGCTCCCCTCCCCCACATAGGAGGAAATGGGGGCAGGGTGTGAGGCTTCCCTGGCTTCTTCCCCTTGAGATCCCATTTCCCTGTTTGGGGCGTGAGGTTTTTGTCCACAGCTGAGTCTATGGGGCTCTACACCCAGGGTCCGGCCCACAAGTAGGTGTGGCCGCACAGGTGTGCCCTACACAAGGGCCCCCAACCCAGGTGCGAGGGGTTGCTGGCTAGGGGCTGCACTGCCTGTAGGAAGGGGGGCATCGTGCCACTTTGCACACAGGCACAGGGACAGGAGGGGCTGCCTGTGCCCCATTCTCCCCCCCCCTTTCCTGACCGCCTCTGTGTGGAAAGGGTGCTTTTCCCCCAAATCACATCCCCAGAGTTACCTCTTTACACCTGTTTCTAGAACCACAGAATTTTAGCTGGGGACTCGACTCCTCCCTGTCAGAGTCGGAGGCCCCTCCTCCCTTACCCCGGGGCAGGGATAGAGGAAAGGCTGCCTCTGTGCAGAGGATGGAGAGAAGGACATTAAGGAGTCACCTGGGCTCTGGAAGCCTGAAGGTGGCCAGGCCAACACGCTCCCACCGAATCCCTCTGCCTGTAGGAAGGTGCTCCAGGAGAGATGAGGTGGCTCCTTGGAGTTAGGCCAGTGTGTGCTGGGGTGCCCGGCCAACTCCCTCCTCACGTGTGTAGGTGTCCCCGGGGGTGCCGCACAGATGGAAAACACCAGCATGGGGCAATGGCTGCGTGGGGGTTCACGATACAGCAACTCACCACTCTGTGGGGCGCACCGTGTGTGCTACACCTCAGCACAAAAGGGAGAAAAGACAAAAAACACCTCCAACACCAACTGCGGCTGTGACTGTTTGCTTTATTCTTGAATCCCGGGTCCCCGTGGCTGGCGGTCCCTTCCCATCCCTGGGTCCCTTCCCTTCTGTCCCCGACTCCGAAGACCCCCCCCCATGGGAGGGGTCCTAGGTAGGGGAGGCTCCTCCTTCCTCCAAACTAGGGGTCATGCTGTCAAGGCAAAGCCTCTGGACCCAGCACCTTGTAAAGGCTTTGATGAGAGGAGCTCCAGCTTTTGCTCAGGGCCTTTGGCCCCACCACCCAGGAATGCAGGCGCTCAAAGCCTGTGGCCACAGTTCTTCTGGAGTGGGAGCAGGGGGACAGAGCTTTGGGTAGAGGAGGGTCGCCTGGAGAGCTGGAATGCCAGGGGCGTTGGCGGCGCCTCTGGCTCCTGGGGGCCAGGCTGGTTCCTCACCTCATGGGCCTGAGCCTGGGCGGGGTCTGGAGTGCACATAGCCCCCAGGCAGGGAGAGGGCAGTGACAGGACTGAGCCACTCATCTGTCCCAAAGCTGCCCCCAAGGGGTGTCAGCAACCCCAACCCACTGACCTACTTTGGGACCACAGGCCCATCTAGTGCAAATGAGGTCCAGACAGGAGAAATGCTTTACTCAACAGCCACAGAGGCTGACGTAACCTATGTAACGTAGGGTCAGGGTGGGCCTGAGGGGTGAGCCAGGTGGTGGGTGGGCGACACACCAGGTCCCCTCCTGGCCTCTGCCCCACCCAGCCCTCTCCTGCACAGCTACCAGAACAGACCAGCCCCAGCAAGGAGAGTGTGGTCAGGTGCAGAGGAGGGCAGGGGCCCGGATCCTGGCCCAGAAACACTCTAAAACAGAATCCAATCCTGAGATGATCCAAATCAAACAGAAACTTGACGGAAATAGTAGAGTCTGAAAATGATGCACTCTACACACACATATACAAGACACACATATGAATCCACGCACACACGAATCCACACACACGCACACGAATCCACGCACACAAGGCACACCCTACTCATGCTCTCGGTCTCCGGTTACACACCCACGCCCACAGCCCCCCATCCCTGTATTCAGACGCCCTCTATGGCCCACTCCCACCCAGCAGAGCGCCACAGCCTGGTGCCAGGGACTCAGTGCCGACTGCTGACGTGAAGGGTGTAGAAAGCCCAGGGCTCAGGGACGTAGATGACACCCGGGTACTTCTTCCTGAGAACAGGGTCATTCCACAGCCAGGCGACCCAGAGCGCTACCAGCAAGAGGGTGAGTGTGAAGGAGGAGAAGAGGAAAAGGCCGTTGCTGTCCAGGAAGAGGCGCTTGCGCTTCTGGTGCAGGACGAGGGCCAGCATGGCGAAGAAGGTGAAGATGAAGAGGATGAAGATCTGGCCCTCGGTGACCAGGTACCTGGAAAGGCCAGGGGGGAGTGAGGCAGCTGCTGTGGCAGCCCCGTCCTGACTGGCATCCCTCCCTGCGCGTGAAAGCCAGGCTGCCCTCCAGGCAGGCAGGAGCGTCCTCTGGCACCAGGGCTCAGTGAACCATGCCGCTCTAAGCCACAGCCCGCGGGCAGCATACTGATGGAGCTGGTAGAGTTACGGGGTTTTAGTTGTGGATTTTGTTGCCAATATTTAAATAACAGAATACCTACAAATGTGTATTTCTGGCTTCTCTGGTCACATTAAGTTTGTATTTCCACACAACAAAAACTGACTAGAGGAGAAAGCAACAAATAATTGCCACGACAACGGCAGCGGCCCCCACGGCAGGACGCCGGGGTGAGGACCCACAGGAAGCGGTCGGCTAACATCTTTCTCGCTCACTGCAGCTGCCACCCACTCTTTTTAATCCCCAGAGAGCACACAGATGAGCCCCAGCAGGCCATCTCAGCCACACAGGCGACAGTCCGGGGAGATGGTCTAGAGCTGGCCCAGGAAAGGAGGCCCTTTTCGTTTTGAGGGAGGCCTCCCATCAGAGAAGGGCCCAGTCCTGCCCCCACCCTGTCCTTCCCATGACACCCACAATCCCAGGGTGACCTGTCTCCAGGGCAGAAGTGACAGAGGAGGGCTGGGAGACTGGCTGAGGCCGGAGTCCTCTGCGATGGGAAGAAAAAAGAGCCAGAGGGAACAAAGACCCCAGACCAGGTGCCCCTACGCCATCAAACCCCCCTGTCTGTCTTTGGCCTCACCATAGTGCTTAACATTTGACAAAGCCCCTCTCTGTCCTCAGCATCCTCATCATCTGAGAGGTAGACAGGCAGGTACCATCATTCCCATTTCACAGAGGCGGAACCCGCAGCCCACCACAGGGCTTGGTGTTGGAGGTGGATTGTGCCGGCCCCAGGGCAACACTGGGGTTCTTGAGATGGGGTACACAGCGAGAGGGGCTTGAGGATGGAGACAGACTGTGCAACCTCGCCCTCTCCTCCCACCTCCCTGCCATACCCAGGCCTGGGCTTCATGGAAACAAAGAGGCCACCACAGGGCATTGTCACAGTCCCCACTAGACACAAGAGGAAGCAGGGGCTCAGAGAGGGCCAGTCTCCCTGGGGCCACACAACAGGTCCATGGGCAAGTGCAGAATTTTGCTGCCGTGGCTCACTCCGTGCCCCTGCCTCTGCCCCCATGCTGATGTCTACTCACCAGTAGTACAGGCCACTGGGCGCCACCAGGAGCAGGGCAGGCCCTGGCATCCACCTCTCAGCTTTACAGGCAGTAAAGCAGCCACTGAAGTACATGAAGAGGATGAGGAAGAAGGGGATGTACCTACGACAGGAAGGCCAGTGCCTTAGAGGCCTGCTCAGCAGTCCCATCCCCACCACCTCTGCACCCGCTCCCACGGGGTCCCACGGAGTGCCACGTCATGGTTTACAAAACGCCTAGCCTGGGTGAGAGGCGCTCCTCTCCACCCGACCTTGTTTGTGCTCGGCGTCAAAGATGGGACAGAAACAGAAACAGGAAGGCAAGGCACGTGTGAGTCAGAGGCCCAGAGGGATCCATACTGCCCAGGGCACCTCACTCACTCTGTGGGGGTGGGGGGCGTCTGTGGGGTTGTCTGTCTCATGCACTGCAGACGCCAGCAGCCCAGCCCCACACTAGCCTGGAGACAGAGGCACCTCCTGGGCCGAGGATGGAGGTCCACATGTTAAAAAAGAGAACAGCACCTGCGGGGGCCTCTCGGTGAAGTGCTGCACCCACACTCAGCACACAGCCCCACCCCCACCTCAGACACCTCACCCCAAAATGCCACCCTCTCCCCTCTCCACACACTGGCTCCCTTTCTCCCACCTGTGCTGACTTGCACCAGTATACCCGCCTGCCTCTTCTCACCCACACCCGCTTCCTGCTGGGGCTCCAGCTCTCTGTTCCTAGCCCCTCCACCCTTTCCCAACCTTCTGTGGGAAGAGGCTCTGGCAAAGGACA